GATTACACAGTCAGGGGTTGAGTCAGAGGTTGGTTTGTGTAGGAATGGAGGGCAAAATCTAGGGTTGCCAAGTAGTACTCACCTCTGGAGCGGGGGACTCCCGTGTGGATCCCGGACCGCGCGCGTTTGCTCGCGCCACATGCACATCACTAGGAAGGGACGTTATGACACCGGGCATGCTGGGGGCGGGGCCACGACCATCCAAGGGGGAACTATAGAGTTTCCCCTTGGATGGTCGTGGCCCCACCCCCAGCGTGCCGGGTGTCATAATGTCACTTCCTAGTGACGTGCACGCCGGGGGTGGGGTTCCCCCCGGGGCCTGGCAGCGGAAATCGGGCCTCCAAAGCGGGGCTTTACCTGCCCCCCACCCCCACTTGGCAGCCCTAGCAAGATCCCTGCCTATAATGAAGAGCTTTAAACATGGGGTCAAGCTAGATGAGATAATGGTAGAGCCTCTCTTTAAATGTGGTTCAATTGAATTGTCTACTCAACAAGAAGGGTAAGAGTCTGGTCTGAAGACAAAAGGGATGTGTGTATGAAGAATGCTTGACCTTCCCCACATTCCCAACATTTCTCTCAACAGCTTTCAGTCTCTTTCTGCAAATCTGGGTTCAGTCGTGAAATTGGAACCCGGCCGAGAGAAAAGAGACAACAAAGATCAGCAGAGATCAGCCTGGTGTCAATTATACTAGGGGTTCTTGCCATCCTCTGGCTACTTTGGAAGCAACTCCTTTAGCTCGAGGCCTTCCATGTTGGCTGGTACTATATTTTGTATAGGCATCACCTGTTAAGCCCCCCCCTCAAAAAAACCCCTCTTGTACTTCTACAGTGGTATTAAGCTGTTAGGGTGAAGAACGAACACATCTGCAACATTTTCTTGGCATGATTCAGTCTGGCATTGGGCCTGGTTATCAGCAAAGACACAGTTAGTTGGAGGTTGAACAACAGGGCATAGAGGCAAACAGGGCTCTTTTTGTAGAAAAAGCCCAGCAGGAACTCATTAGCATAATAGGCCACACCCAACAGCAGAAACTCATTAGCATATTAGGCCACACCCCTGACAGAGCAGCTCATTAGCACATTAGGCCGCACCCCCATGTTACCAGAAGTGTGGCCATCCAGCCACACCCACCTTTTGCTTCTTATTCTGTTTACCTTGTTTGTTGTCAAAACCCAGGGCTTTTTTGGAGCAGGGACTCCTTTGCATGTTAGGCCACACACCCCTAATGTAGCCAATCCTAATGAGTTCCTGCTGTTGGGTGTGGCCTATTATGCTAATGAGTTCCTGCTGGGCGTGGCCAACTCGGGAGCCAGCTGGAACTCCATTCCTGTGCGTTCCTGCCCAAAAATAGCTCTGCATCTCTCCCAGGAGAAACATATGCAACCCTTGAGGCTGACCTGGCACACTTGGTTAGTTCCCAGACATTACAGACATCTTTTGCAAGGTTCTGTTTTTTGTTTTGGTGGCTACGCTTTCCCTCAGGAATAGCCTCAAGGAGGTCAGAAGGCTCCCTCTTAAAAATTTTTTGAAGGTCTGTAAACACAAGGCCTTTCCAGATGAATATTTTTTTAAAAAAAAAAAAGATGGATATTTTTGTCTTGTTTGTTGGGCTATATGTTCTTTTATAGTTTCGGATTGTGTGTAGGCAGGGGTCGTTTAGTAGAAAAAGAGGTGCAGGAGCTCATTAGCATAACTCATTAGCATAACTCATTTGCATATGCCACAC